GATGTCAAAACCTTGTCACACATTAAACGTTTTAATTATTGCTAAAAATACTATTAACATTTTGTGTTGTGTTTAGTAGGCAGTGACAATAACATTTCTACGTTTATATTATTCATCAGATGTTCTATAACCCATAGATGTATTGTATATAGTATACAACATTTCATTACCATTCTTTCTTTTTTAATAATATTGGTATTGGTCCTTGAGGTAGTCAGTGACGGATCAAGCGTGAATCGGAAGCGACCAATTTAGCGCCAGAACCAAAAGGCGCAATTTTGAGCTATTTTATTATCGAACAATATAAATAGGGGCAAAATATTACAAAGGTAATATTTCTTTTCAAGATTATTACGACTAGTTTGTCTCGAACTCTCGAAGCCATTGAAAATCTTAAATGAATTTAAAATAAAAACATAAAGCTGATACGGTTGTAGAAATCAAGAGGGGATAAATTTAATTTGATAATAGGATAATATTTAATTTGAAACAACAAAAAGAAACTTGTAAGGTAAGGAACAGAAACTCCTTGCTTCGTGCTGAGGTAAAATACGGTGGTAAAGCAGGCGTGATCGGAAGTGTGCGATGGAGCAATCGGGGTAATCTGCGAAGTCGGGTCCAAATGTTGAATCGAAAAGGGAGAGAGACGGTGTAATGTGTAACAGTTGGACAGTAATTTAACATTCTTCTTAATTCTATGCAGGGTCGACCCCGCCCCCAGCCCCGACTGTAACAGTGCCGTAAAAAATATGCTTATATATAAATAAAAAAAAAGGTGTATTTTAAGGCTACGACTGTTGCCTTTTTGTATTAACCTAAATGGTTTTCACAACGAATTTGAAAATTTGAACACTAAAGTCTATTTTAATACATCATCAACTTCCTAAACACTGCCAGCTACGAAAACATCTCTATAACATGGTTTTATGTGGCACACCTACTAGAGAAGATGTGAACAAGAAGACGATACAATCCAACATGTTCTCTGTGAGTGCTCTGCTGTCTCGTCAACTAGCAGGCACTGATTGGGCGTCCTTCTGGCCGATCGCGCGGCGACGCGGATGGATATTCAATAAATATAATTTTTCTAGACAACTATGAGAATGGAAATTAAGTCGATTTAAAATTTGTTATTGCCCAGTACATTTCGGCATTTATCAAAATGTTTAAATTGACTACTCAAAAATGGAGCATTCTTTCAGGGTAAAATAAGACGCCCTTTTTTCTTAGAAATTGGTATGATTTTTAAATTTGGTATTAGAATTGAAATAAACTACATAAAAAAAATTCTTTTTTGATCCCCCAGTTTAGGACACCTATGATTACTTTTTAAAGCTGTCTTTGCGTAATTAAGGAGCCAGATTGATGTCTAAACAACATACCATACATACAAGAAATATTAAGAAAAAATATGGTCAGCGTGCCCCATTTAGGGGGCCTAGCTCCCTTTGGAAGCACTTTAAGACCTCTGTTTATAAATATTTTTCTTGTGCGCTAGTTAAGACTGTTAAGAGACACCCTGTGACCTGTATAGTGCGATCTATTCAATGCCAAACTGTTGAAAGGTGTTTTTGTCACAGCCAAATTATAATGTAAAGGTAAAGTCGGCAATAAATATGGAAGATTAGAAATTTTCTATTTTATAACGATTTATAGCCGACTACCTGAATACTGTGCTACACATACAGTATTGATTATACATTGTCATCCTGCGTATGATAAAATATTCATAAAACACATTTAAAAAGAATCAGGCAATGACTAAAACCATTCATACACCATTGATAACTAGACATTTTTACAACATGTTAGAGATAATAATATAATAATCATTGATTCTGACATTAAGGCAACTATGGCCAATAAATTAATCATTACATATATTTTATGTATTCTCTTGTCTATCCGAACTTGAAAAAACAACATCACAATTTAAAAACTACCCTGATACCTGTAGCATAACATAATAAATAAAATTAATTTAACAATTTAAGCCATAACAAATTTACATATATTGGGTGCAATACTTTCAGCATCATTCAAATGTAAATGGTGTGTTCCTTCAAAAGTATGTCTTTCTAAAATTTTTGCTTGATTTGCTATTGCATCTAGTACTGCATCATAATATTCTGGATTATCTAACTTTAAACCAGATGTGGCCCTTATGTTCATAACTTCACATTTAATTCTAGATGCCAATTCCAATACCTGGTCAATAGCCATAAACCCTAAAGCCGCAGTTTTCAATCTAGGATCACGAGTAAACATAAATCCTTTTTTATGTAGGGCTGGTTTCATACCTCTTTTTAACATTATTTCACAGCCCTGTCTATTAATAGAACCATTGTGAGCGTCATAAAGTAAATCAACCATTTCTTCATATTCATAACATGGCATCTCATCTATCGATTTACTTTCATACGATAAAAATTTGTCTACACAGGGTCCTAATATATCACACATTTTCTTTGTATTCCTTACACTTGGACTAGCAATATCTATACTGATGTATTTTTTTACGTCATCTGGATATGCCGCTGCATAGAGAAATGCAATAGCTCCTCCTAAGGAATGACCGATTATGGTAATTCTTTTCCAATTAAAATGTTTTACTATCCTTCGCAAATAATGGACACCATCCCAAAAGATATAATAGTTCTGTCCAGAAGGTAAATGTGAAGAATGTCCATGGCCTGGCAAATCTATGCAATATATTGAAATCCCTTTATGTTCAAGTAATGGAGCTAAATTATCAAATGTTCCACTATTATCTTGCCATCCATGAATGGCTATAATTGGCTGTATCGCTGTGTTACCCCACCATTTGCCTGAAAATATACGCATGCTTGAATTATTATAATGTGGAAACTATCTTGAATAAATTCTGTACCTCGGATATAGCTGATTTAAATAAAGATCCATTAGCTCTATGTCAAGAAAGAAGCCTTTATCATATTTTGCGATAAAAAATGATTACCACAAGAAGTTTATTCTTTTTATACATAAAAATTTAGAAGATTTGAAAAAAACGACGAGTGCGTTATTCTTTTTATGCGATCTTTAATTTAATACGTATCACTCGTCACTCTTTTTTGTAAGTGGGGGGCGAATACATTCCTTAGGATGAAATCCTCCATATCCAAGGTACATAATATATTCCAGTTAAGACTTCCACCCTATTTGTATCCAGTAAGTTTAGCGACTGACTAAAAATTTTATATTTTTATATTACATCGTTTTGAAGTTATTTAATAAAAACCGTCTCCGGAACAACCCCTTAAGGGGGCTGTAGCTCCCTTAGAAGGCACTTCGAAAATAAACTATACCGAAGTTTTCGTAATATTTTTACATTCTCTATCAGCCCTAAAATTTTGAATACTCAATTGGGAAACACCTTGTATATGTACATAATATAATATACATACCTACTTTTAATCAATATGTTTACCAACTTGACTTGTTGCACTAGTGCGCACTGAGTGTATCTCTATCGTGCTTTAGAATATGGTTCTATAGAAAAGGACCAAGATACACTCGGTGCGCACTAGTGCAACAAGTCGAATTCGCTATATCTATGCACAATATAACCTAGTCTAGAGTCGATTTGTTTTATTATATTTAGGTGCTTTGTGTTATACTTTTTTATGTTTATGTGATTATAATCAGGACTTGGAACAGTGTGATTATGGAAAAATCATTTACAAAAGCTGATAGTGACAATCTTCCTACAGTAGATACAGATATATACCTAAATGATTTTTTTGTTGCAAATGCTGATTTCTTCAGTGCGGAATATCGCAATATTAAAACTAAAAGGAATTCTTTTTAAATTTAATACACGAACTCAGTCATTTCGCCGATAAGGTAATAAATCTTTTGAACTTGTAAAACTTGTAACATTTTGAACTTGTAAAACACAAACATAACCAACAAACCAACTCGAACGCTGTCAAATGGCAAGGTACCAGCATGTTCTGTGCTACCAGCTACCCATCAAGATTTATGTTGCCAGATTTAAATAGCCGTGGGTGATATATTTCATTTAATTTTGATACAGAATTATTACCGACAATTTACAAAAAAATAGTTATAAAATGCAAAATATACCAAAGGTATACTTTTCTATGAATTATTACAATCAAAAGTGTTTTACACTTTTACAGTATTATAAGAGTTAGTTAGCTTGACAACGCTGCCTATATGCCATAAAGTGGTGCAATGCCGACAAACGTTTTCTATCTCCGTCTCATTACAAAGAAGGAAAACAACATGTCCGTTTTGACGTCATCAATGAAAGAGGAAATTCAAATATGTTATCAATTTCTTTTTTTTTCTCCCCTTAAACTCAACCTATTCGTCAAAACAAAAAATACGGTATAGTTATTTTTTTCAATACTATCACCTGCTATGATTTTTTAAAATTAGAGAATGAGCCTATTGGCCAGCCTGTAAATCGTAAACATGCTTGTTTTCGCGTCGGCGCGTCATGCGTCAGGTGACTCAAGGCTAGAACTCCGTTCACACTTTAATTCTCCTTTCTAAGGAAATTAAATTATATAAAATATTTGTACAAACGTGTTGTTTTTACTGAAAATAAATTTCAAATTAAAAGCGCGAAACTGTAAGTTTTGCAAGATCTTACGATTTCTCACGGTTTTTGACGATTACTCTCGCGAATTTCAATCAACCACGACTGGGATCACTTAACAGTTTCAGCATAACCTAGAAAGCAGAACATAGACGGGCAGTTGGGCCCTTACCTTAAAGGATGATGTAAGTAAGACTGGTGTGTTAACTTCGCTGTTTTATGAATGAAAGGCAGTAATCCAAAATCATTTTCGAGTAGGCGGGTTTATGATGGCCTCTTGTAACATATTGCCGTGAGAGGTCGCCACATACGCATTTTTTTTAATGCCTTTTTTTTAACGTGGGCGAGATTTAGCTGTCAGCTACTCCACCACCTAACCCACGGAGAGATCTGAGCCAGTGAAATATTCGCCAGTCGCTGCCAGGAATTGAACCTGCAATCTCCTGCTTTCGAGCCGACGCCTTTACCAACTGAGCTACAGACCCCCCACTGAGCTACAGACCCCCCCCCATTTCTATTACAAAATCACATTTTAGTGACCTACTTTACCATCCCTAATTTGAAAGTACATACATAAGTGTGAAAATAAACAGTAAACAGTTTTTTAAAAACACAACAGCTTTAAAAGATAAATAAACGCCCAGTTAAAGTTGCGCAAGGGATCTTATTTCAACCTAGCTGACATTTGATCATTTGACAGAATTGAAAACTACTTTTCCGACATGCGCGACCGCCATCTAACAATTTTTCTTAACATGAGGCCATCATAACACTATATAGGTCATAGGATGAAAACAAAACACCATAGTGAATGCACCATCCTTACTTACATCATCCCTTAAAATTAGTTTGTGCAGGCTTGCCAAGTCTAGGAATTTTTTCCCGAATCTAGGGATTTTTTATATTGGAAAGGGGGAATGGATTTTTTCGAAAATCTAGGGGAAATTCGGCGAAAATGGATTTTTTCACTAAATCAAGGAAAATTTTCAATAGTTTTGCGTATTGAGTCAGTAAAAATAAAGAAATTTGTGTATTAATTTCTGATTTCATTTAGATTCGATCTTTCAACACTCTCCAATTTTATATTAGATATTATGTGTTTGCCACATTCAAGCGCCACTGTTGAAAGATTTTTTTTCAGTGGTTAATTTAAATAAAACTAAAATTAGAAACAAGCTTTCAACAGAAACCTTAAGTGGCATCCTACATACGAAAAACAAAAACAAAATTGTTTTAGTTTTAGTATTGATCAGGACTTAATTAGGTAAGAAATTAAACAAGAAAACTTATACTTATACCCAAAAAAACCCTTAGCAACATCATAAATTGTGTATTTACTGTTCGTTGATTTTCTTACTTTGTTTTGTTTACGAAAATAAATGTTTCCCTTTATTTTTTACATTATTATATAAACCACAGACCACATACAAAGTATACCCCCCCTTTTTTCCTACAGTCTAGGGATTTTTAGTCTGTTTCTGGGGATTTTTAGAACAGAATCTGGGGACGGTATAAAATTTCACCTGGCAACGCTGAGTTTGCGAAAAGTTTATATACAAAATATGTATAAGCTATTTCTGAACACCTCTTCCAATTTTTCAATGATTTCAAATTAATTTTAAATTACGGAAAATCAGTGGGCGCCTCTGCTAGATAATATTCAAATTAATAACGTTTGGTATGTACAAAGAATCAAATGTTAAATTTATTAAATCTGCTTTTAAATGGTGACCATCCTGTATCGATTATGTACCTATTTACATATGTACCAAACTCGCTTTTGCTGACCAATCGTAGGCTGCTATCTAAACTATGAATACATGGAGATAACCTTTGAACTATAAGTAGGTACTTTACAAAATTATTACAGGCATTTTTGTTAATTAATACGCCAAAATAATAAATTATACAGTAATTACAAAGTCCATTATTATAATTCTTTCTATACTCAGGGGCGCACAGTGTTCCAAATTGGCGAAAACGTGATCGTAATTAAAAATTTCAAGTTTTTCTGAAAATGTTGAAATTTATGTATTTGTTTATTAATGTCATTATACAACTTTTCACCAAGTATTGATGTTCTGTCTTTCCCAGGGTCAGATATATTAATGGTTAAAAACCAATTTTTTAAATATTTTATAGCATATTTTAGTAGGTACTGAAATATTGTCTCTTCTTTTTGGTGTTACCTGCTGCAGGTAAGATGGTTGATGTAAAAGTTATTGTAGAAATACATACTTTAGAGATGCAAATAATATGAAATAGGTAAATAGGCAGGGAGCATTATCATCAGATATTCGCCGTCTATAATCCGGTGCAAATTCCTATATAAATTACTTTTTAATGACCCTTTGCGTTAATTGCTGATGCTTGCTTCGCGGTAAACTATACATCAAATGAAAGCTCATAATGTAAGGGATTTAAAAATATATGGTTTGACCTGCGCAAAGGTGCGCAACAGGGTGCATTAGGCATTAGTTTGCGCCGAATACCGGGCATATTTAGTCTTATTAGATGTTATTAAGTACGGTCATAAGTTTAGTTTGTTGTATTTGTGTTTGAGAGATTTGTGTTTAATTTTTTAAGTGTTTTTTGTGCATTTACGCCATTTTGTCACAATGGCAATTACACCTCTGCATCTACATCAGAAAATGATGGAAGTATCTGGCCAAGATTTTTCTGTGAAGAAAATTCGTGTTTTGGACTAACTAAGAGAATGTTTTCAAATAAATGGAGATGAAATTGCAACTAATGCACTTGAAAATTTTATGAGAAAATCATTTTTCCTTAAGTATCTTACAAAGTGGAGAGTATGCTTTCTTTGCTTGACCTTACAGATAAGGATGAACTTGAACTCAAAGACGACAAGTATGACGATGATGACGTTGATACGGAAGAAAAAGAGGCATATGAAGATTCAGATGACTAGTCTTTATATTTTTATAAATAATAAAATACCTGCATTAAAACTAGTTTGCTGAAAATTAGAAAAAAAAATTATTTTCCGTCACCCCCCTCCTCAATACTTAAAATGAAAAGTACGTATAGTACTAAGGCCCTTCCTAAAACATTTCTTTGCTAAATAATAAAGGAAACAAAGATCGTACACAAAAAAATAGAGAGGAGTTATGTTTACGATATATTTTTTTAAGATTTCACCCCCTATGGGGTGAAAACCGAAGAGACCGCTTTTTAATTTTTATATTTATTTGTTCTACATTATAAAATATCAAATAATTTAACTTCTTAGCTTGATTGATTTTACTGTTTAAACGTAATTAATTTCGATCACGTTTTCGCCAATTTGGAACACTGTGGGGCGTAGACACCAGTGTTCCGTGTGTTCCGCGGAACACGGGCCCGGTTCTACATATAAATAATTCCTATTAAGCAAAAAAAAATATTTAACTTTTATTTAAAAAAATCATCTACGTAAGTAAAATAAACTATTTTCAATTCTTACTTCGTTTCCAAATAGATCTTAAATAATTTCCTTTACTTTCCTATATATTTTATAAAAACTTCTCGATTTTTATTTCTTTTCGCGTGTCGTGTATAATTTTTTGTGATTTTGTTATGTTCGTTATTTATTTTTTTAATAAACGTAGGAAGATACTTCGTTTTTTAATGGGTAGGGGGCCCGGGAATCCCATGGAACACAGGCCCGTAACGGCATCACTACTATTCTTTCTATACTGTCTACTACTATACTGTCTATACTTTTACCGTTTGTAAAAAAAAAACTGTTATTTATTAATGAAAAAACTTGATATTTATTTAAATGACTCGAGACATTTAGTTTATTGGTATACTTCATTTTTTTTGCAGGAGGAGTAAATCGTATTTGGCGCCACAATTTTAAGGTTACTGATTGGTTGATTCACAGCCTGATTTACACCAATGTTTGCAGGAAACGATCGCAGGATTTGTCAATTAAACTTTTTGACATTTGACTTATTTGTAAATGTAAATACAGAATCAATTTAAAATTTCTTCAATGTTTGAAGTGTTTTGAAAGTTTATATCAATATTATTCACTCAGCAAACGAACAAACGATTGTTTGACGTGTACAAAGAAATTAAAAATTCTTGCTAGCAGTAAATTGCATAGATTGATAGAAATTGTATCTGTGGTAAATTGTTATCGTTTAAACCGTTTACTCCTCCTGCAATAAAAATGAAGTATAGTAGGTACATGTTTGTCTATAAAACAGGATACTTTAGTTGTAAGGATGATGTAAGTAAGTGAAAACCGAAGAGACCGCTTTTTTAATTTTTATATTTATTTGTTCTACATTATAAAATATCAAATAATTTAACTTCTTAGCTTGATTGATTTTACTGTTTAAACGTAATTAATTTCGATCACGTTTTCGCCAATTTGGAACACTGTGGGGCGTAGACACCAGTGTTCCGTGTGTTCCGCGGAACACGGGCCCGGTTCTACATATAAATAATTCCTATTAAGCAAAAAAAATATTTAACTTTTATTTAAAAAAAATCATCTACGTAAGTAAAATAAACTATTTTCAATTCTTACTTCGTTTCCAAATAGATCTTAAATAATTTCCTTTACTTTCCTATATATTTTATAAAAACTTCTCGATTTTTATTTCTTTTCGCGTGTCGTGTATAATTTTTTGTGATTTTGTTATGTTCGTTATTTATTTTTTTAATAAACGTAGGAAGATACTTCGTTTTTTAATGGGTAGGGGGCCCGGGAATCCCATGGAACACAGGCCCGTAACGGCATCACTACTATTCTTTCTATACTGTCTACTACTATACTGTCTATACTTTTACCGTTTGTAAAAAAAACTGTTATTTATTAATGAAAAAACTTGATATTTATTTAAATGACTCGAGACATTTAGTTTATTGGTATACTTCATTTTTTTTGCAGGAGGAGTAAATCGTATTTGGCGCCACAATTTTAAGGTTACTGATTGGTTGATTCACAGCCTGATTTACACCAATGTTTGCAGGAAACGATCGCAGGATTTGTCAATTAAACTTTTTGACATTTGACTTATTTGTAAATGTAAATACAGAATCAATTTAAAATTTCTTCAATGTTTGAAGTGTTTTGAAAGTTTATATCAATATTATTCACTCAGCAAACGAACAAACGATTGTTTGACGTGTACAAAGAAATTAAAAATTCTTGCTAGCAGTAAATTGCATAGATTGATAGAAATTGTATCTGTGGTAAATTGTTATCGTTTAAACCGTTTACTCCTCCTGCAATAAAAATGAAGTATAGTAGGTACATGTTTTGTCTATAAAACAGGATACTTTAGTTGTAAGGATGATGTAAGTAAGGATGGTGCAGTCACTTTTGTGTTTTGTTTTCATCCTATGACGATGATGTAAGTAAGGATGGTGCAGTCACTTTTGTGTTTTGTTTTCATCCTATGACCTATATAGTGTTATGATGGCCTCATGTTAAGAAAATCTGTTAGATGGCGTTCGGGGCATGTCGC